ATAGCAAAACACTTCCTGTTTTCTCAGCCAAAACGTGTAGAGAGATCTGGGAGCAATTAGTTCCTTTAATTGCCCCTTTAGACACAGCAGGGTAGGCAGGGACAGCCTGCCAGTTGTCACTGCTGCTATGTATTACGTGGAGAACTGTCGACTGATTTTGGTTAAATGAGATGGGTGGGGATCTTCGTTGGTCTGTTACTAATTTTAGTTTGACCATGGGACTGTCTCTCGCTTAGAAGTGGCACATTCATCACTCTCCCTTCTATCCTTCAAGACTCGGGTTTTAGTTACGTTCTTGGATAAGATTCGAGATACGATGAGATGAGATTCGCAGAAAATTCCGATAAAAAGCATTGTTTTCTTTTAAGCTTAGTCTAAAATAGATTTGATATATTTTAAAAGGTTTGCAGTTTTAAAAACAAACTGTTATTTGCTTACTTTAGTTGCATATCAATTACGTACGATAAGGTATTACAAATTGCAATATATTAATTGTTATTATTGAAAATCATTATTAGAAACGTTGCTAGCAATTTAAATGATTTAAAACTAAACAAATTTAATAAATTTTGAATTTGATATTATAAGGAATTCTCCTAAAAAGATCCTATATATTATAGACATTGAATATGTCTTGACTTTTGTACAAAGCATTGATAATATCAATTAGTCAAATATATACTGTATTAGGATCTCAAATCACCAATAATAAACATAGCCAATCATCTCAAAAATTACAATCTGAACTTAACAAATTCAAATAAGCTCAACAAAATATTTCAACAGATCCTCCATTTTTAATTTTACAAATTCCATGTTTTATTGTTCCTTTTATTTTCTATCTCTGGTTGCAACAAAAAAAATTTTTTTAGCAATTACAATTAAGAATGCTTTAATACTCTTAAGTAATTCCAAGAATGGATATTTCTGCTAACAAATTAAGTATTTATTTTTTTAATAATAATAATGTTATGAAAAATAAAAAAGAAGTATAAAATAATATAATTAAAATACTTCTAAATCTATATATATATATATATATATAAATGGATGTGTGTGTCCCTATATTTCATATCATTTCTTCCTTTATCT